TATTGTAGGATCTTTATCTTAAAGTATAGAGCCCCTTGAGGCAGCTGCTGTTGTGATTTGGTTCTATACAATCAAAACAGAAGAGAATTGAATTGTGTCTGCTACTACCCCAAAAGAGCTAACCAATACAGTGTATTTACCTGTACATGAAGATAAATATTTATAAGGAGATTTATGCTATAACAATTCCCTGCTTTTGCTTATGTGTGGATTTTTGTACAAAACACAAAAATATAGATTATCTTTATTCCTTGCAGGAAAGCAAACGGCTATCTTTCCTCTTTTTTTTTTGCATTAGGTTTTAAAAAGAGACTAAAACTATTACTTCACAATATACGCCAGTGTGTGGGTTTAAGTTGTGATTTGTCCTCTCACTTATGTACCTTTCCATCAGGTCCAGCCTCAGCTGACGACCGTGCGGCAGCGTCACCAGCTCCAGACCGGAGGACACGCCCATTTGACCTTTAAGCTCTGGAGTCACTCCCAGTATCCTGGCAACCTGGTGGGAAGAAAAGAAATTTTACAAGTAGCTGTTAGAACAGTTTTCTGTTATAGTTTGTCACCCCATTTCATTGTATGTGCCTAGCGCATGTGTTTGGATGAGGCAAAACATTTTATTTGGATGTGTCTCTGCATCATGAAGATCATTTTTGTTCTGCAGCAGCATCATCAGGTGCAGGGTGGAAATCTAATTCTCTATAGTGCACAAACACACACACACATACACACAGAGAGGAGCTGTGTGTCACAGCAGCAGTAAACATGTTTACCTGCAGATTAAATGCACGCGTCGACGTCTGTCTAGTGTCAGTTTTCATTTTCCCAGCACGGTGTTGCTGTTTGCAGCACTTTCTGATATGTTATTATTAACAATGAATCATGCCGGGTCTTTGCAGCACTAGTACATTTACTAAATTCTAAAACCATCAGTTACTGCCAGAGGTGGGAAGTAATGAAGTACAAATACTTAGTTTCTGTACTTCAGTAGAATTTTCAGGTATCTTGACTATTTTATCTTTCTGACAACTTTTTATTTTTACTCTCTTAAATAAAAACCTGTACTTTCTTCTCCTTACATTTTCAAAACAGGCTTGTTACTATTGGTTTGATGCATTTTGAGGTGTGAGGCAAACCTTTTTTTTACGTAACTCCATCTCAAACATCAAACCAATTTGAGCCTAAACAGTAACATGTGAAAGACAATTCTGTTTGTGTATTAATCACCAGGTTGTATAAAAAGACGAAAGAGGTAAAATCATGTACCATAGTCGGGAATTAAAGTGGGCTGGTGTTCTGGGGTGAGTTTTTTTGTTTTGTGTTTTTTGGGCACGACACCAGAACGACTGCAGGTGTGCACGAGTGCGGCAAAAGAGGAACGAGGAGTAAGAGGAGCAAAACGAGTATCTTTTTTTAATAATTCTATCAGCTTAACAAACACCAGCAATCACACAAACTGCTTGTGTGCAGTTTGTTGCACAGTGTGTTGCTAGCTAAAGGTCCAGCTGCTGTATTTCACAAGGAGAGAAAAGAAAGAGCTCACTCAGAGAAAGACAGGACA